CCTGTTCCCATCCCTGCATCCACAGCCCCCTGCATGCCTGTTCTCATCCCTGCACCCACACCTCCCTGCACACTTGCTCTCATCCCTGGACCCAAACCTCCCTGCATGCCTGGTCTCATCCCTGCACCCACACCTCCTTGACACCTATTCGCACCCCTACACTCATTCTTCTTTCCCCAGCCATCCTATTCCCACACACCACTCCCCTGTCTATACCCACACCAAGTCCCATCCCCACTCCTACATGCTTTAAGCTGCTGTGTTGAATCAGAACCTGCCTGCACCGCTGCCCCCCGACCATGTGAAGACTATCACGTGCTGTCTCCGAGCCTTGTTTTTGTCATCTTGAAGGAGGGTGGGGGTTGATACTTCTTGTCTCAGTAGGATCACCATGAAGATTAAAGGAAAAAGCGCATTCAAGTCCTGGTGCATAATAGATGTTCGGTGACTGCTGGTAGCCTCCACCAGACCAAACTCCCTGCTGAGCACAGAGGAATCAAACCCCTCCGGACAAGCCACTCCCGCGGACTCCCATTTCCAAGGCATTTGAGGCAGAGCAGCTGGGAGTTACTGACATCTTCAGTCAGCCAAGACAGGAGAGCAGCTCTATCCTCAGACAGCCCTCCGAGGTGGGTGCTGTCATCATCGTTCCCATTTACAGATGAGGAAACTGAGGTTGGGGAGTTTGGTGACTTGCCGCGGCTGAGCCAGGACTTGAGCCTAGGCAGTCAGGCTCCGGGACCTGGGAAGCTCTTGCTGGAACCCGCATCTCACACCCACATTCACCCTGGTGACAGCCCCCAGTGGTCACATGGTGGCTGGGAAGATGTAAGCCCCAAGAAGGAACAGGCTTGGCCTTTGGGGGCCTGCAGTAATGAAACTGAGGGTCCCACAACTGTGCTCAGGGGGACACATGACCTCTGACGGGGGGAGCCTGCAGCAAGGACAGAACCCCATCTGTGCTCGAGGGGGCCAGGCACCACCCGCCCATGTGTATACACTGCAATGGCTCCTGCAGATCCGCACACAGGAAGACACACATACGCAAACTGCACACTCGAGATGTACAGCCACAGTAGAGGCCCACACCTGCTCTGCACACAAACTACACACACACACACACACACAC